AATATTCCTTTTGCTCATTTTTATTGTGATTCAGGATAGAAGAATCTCTGCAGACTTGGGAAAACTGTTACACAACAATTTGGTAACACAAACCTGTCTCCTCTTAAATTGCATGAAGCCAAACAATCTGACCTTTGTGGGTTTCATGACTCAAGTATTCAGGACAAAGTAAAAAAAGAATAGCTGGTAAATGGCTAGGAGCGACCTCAGGTGCTCTTTTTTTTCAGGAGGCTTGTCCAGTGTCCAGGGATAAAATTCTTCTCCCTGATTGGTTCAAGCTGCAATCTCTCTCTTGCCCAGGTTTTGCTCCCCTTCACTCCTGCAGTCACACCCTAAGCTAGTCCTGCCAAAATGATCCAGGTTTATGGGAAAGCTTCCATTTTAAAAGCCAGAAAGTGGACCCAGGCGTCTTGACTGAACTAGACACGGGAGCAATGAGAGCACAGGCAGGGTGGGCAGGAGGAGGCAGTGCTGGCTTGGCCTCAGCCAGTGCAGGATGGGGGCTGGCAGCCAGGCTGGGCACCACCGCTGGTAGGCAAGCGCCTCACCAGGCAGTACAACAGGGAAACACATCAGCTCTTTTGTTCATGGTCAAATAGCAAACCCTGAATTTAGAGTGTCATGTACCTTCTCAGCTCCTTCTGGAACAGTGTTCAGTGGTGCACAGACCTCTAAAACCCTGTATATAGAGTGTGCTTGCAATTCAACTCTGTACCATCCCGGCTTGGCTGCAGATGCTCAGGATGAGCTGCGTGCACGAATTGTGCAGGAGCGTCATCCAGGAGAAGGATTTTTGTAGCAGCATGCTGGCTGCTGTTTTAGGAGGCAGTGTGAACATGTGGTTGGAGAGACTTGCCAGAACTGCAGTACCCTGAATCACAGCAGTCTTACCTCTTTAGCAGGACCTGAATCTCTTTCCCTGACCCCATACGTGCAAGCAAAGGAGATGACTATTTTGTTGCTCAGATCTGGAGGTTGCCTCAAAAAAACAGCAGTTTCCCTCCCTGTCTTGGGGGCAGTAGTTGAGAGGGCATGAGAGAGCTTTGCACCTTCAGCTGGGAGTGAAGCTGGAGCTTACACAAGGTGGGATCCTGGAGCAGAGAAGTGGCTGTTGAATGTGGTAGTGTGGGTTTGTTCTGCCAAGTCACTGCTTGAGCAGAGGACAAAGGTAGGTGGTGGCACAAAGTCCTCACACTCTCTGAGCTGAGCCAGGACTTGTGTTTAGGTTCTAAGGTACTCCCATTCTCAGACTCCATGAGAGCTATTTCTCCTAGAGGGAGAGCTGCTAACAGATGGGATGGGTACATGATGTGACTTGGTAAAAGAAGACAGAACTAAAGGCTGTTCTGATGTGTAGCAGGACTTCATTACTCTAGAGATTCAGTTACCAAGCATAACATTTTTGTGGGGAAAATATAATGAAGATCTTGTTTGACTTAGAGGCAAGGCAGAGTATTCCACTGGTTTTTGGTCATTGTATCTGTTTCTTACAGAAAACATCTTAGTGATGATTGTGACGGAAAGAGTCGTGTGTGACTCTATGTCATTGTGGTCCTATTCCTAACTGATAATGATTTGCCCAGCCCTGGATAAGTTCTTCATTGCAAATCTCTAAGAATTCTTTGGTTTTGTTCCCACTGAACAGTTTAGAAGACTGAGGCACACAGAGGTGGCACATTTCAGCTGCAGGCGTATGTGGTACCTGCCTCACTAGCATTTATGTATCAGCAATTGCCATCCCCCCTCTGCAGCCAGGCTGCTGCAGTCATGTCCCTGGCTCCCTTCCCTGCTTCCTCGCCTTACTGGTGCTCTTAATTTAATTTTGTAAGGTTTGCAGAGGGCTAAATTTGGACCCATGAGTTATTTTTAGAGTCTTGAAAATAGGCTAATGTACGAAAAAAGATTTTTCTCACAGTTTAATGAACCATTTTTGGATTTTGAGGAGGAGAGGAGGATTGGCAGTAAGATGGAAGGGTTTTTCATGTCATCTCCTTAGTCATATAAGGAGCAAACGGCCCATTTATGACACTGACGTCATTCAGAGCTTCGTGTGCATTGTCCCATACCATTCTTTCTCCTTGATCTGTTTCCAAAACTCCTCTTCTCTTAACCCACTTTTCTTACCTGCTGCCAGCCCCTGTCCTTCAGTGGTGCTGCAGATGTCTCCTCCTGCCTGCTGCCTGCATTTTCAGCTCCACACAGCTTGCATTTCCCTGAATCAGTTTTAAGGAGTCATTGATGGAGGTGGGTTTCAGAAAAATGCCTACCATTCATTTCTTAGTTTCTGCCAGGATGGGTTTCAAGTGCCCATGTTCCTACTAGAGGCTCATTCAAAATCTAGTGCTGAGCAGATAGTGCATAGACTGGCACAACAGAGAAGTGTTTGTCCTGGGCTTTATGACCATGTCTGTCTCAGCGTTGTGGGAAGGATGACTGTTGTCCAGGGCTTATGTGCTTGCACCGGCTTTGAAATCATCATGGAGTCAGTGCTTTATCTGAGATAGGTACTGTGCTGAAGTCACTTGAGGGGTGATGAAAATGAGTTTAGTCCTCAAGACTGCAGCAAAAAAAAAAAAAAAGAAATAAGAGGGGAGGCAAGGAGGCCGACCTTGAAATGATGCACTTCCAGGAAGCCAGCCATCTGCTGCCCTGTGTTGAAGTGAGTATAGGTTTGGATTGCTAATCCTTTCCTCTGATCCTGGGGACATTTCAGAGAAGTATGAGTGAGCAGATGGATTTTATTAGACTTAGAAGAGACACTTTTTGAATTGAAAAGGCTTTCAACCCTGTCTTTAGAGAATGGTGTTAACATGGAGGTCCTTGTCTTTCATACTGCTTGCCTATTCCCTCCTACTTTACCCCACTTGCAGGACAGGGTTTAAAACCCACCTGAGCTCTGCCCACCTCTGCCACCTCAGCAAATGTTTGTCATACCGAGGGTTTTCTATGTGTCTTACCTCATATTTGTTTTGGCTTGAGATACAGCCCAGTCCCCCAAATGTTTACTGCTGGACGTGCTCCCGGTGACATCTGCAGGAGAGCAGCGAGTCCAGCTGTTGACCGAAGTGATCCTGGCAGGAGCTGCTGCCCGCGTGGGGTATGGACCTTCTCAAAGAAGCTGTGATCATGTTCTGAACACAGACTGCATTTTCACTAATGTCCTTCCAAGATAAAAGGCCAAAAAGATGACCACCACTTATAGGCTAATTAGCCTGAAGTCTCGTTTATCATAATCCAGATGTTATCCTGCTAATTTCAGGGCTGTTACTCAAGCGCAGGATTGGACACACAGGAGTTGAGAGTTCGTCTACATCACAGGCTTTTGTCAGGGAGGCCCTCAGTCATGGCTTTGATGGGGTGTGTGATCTTTGGCCAACACAGCTGTGCTGACAAGAAGTCCTCAACATCGATTTTTGCTCGTTATACCAGCAAAACCTTATTTTTGCTGATATTGCTGATGTGGGGGAAGAGAAGCTTCTCAGCATATTGCTGCCAGTGTGAGTTTTGTTAACAGTGACCTCTTCTTGCTCATCCTGTGGACCCCAGCCCAGCTGCTCTTCCAACCTCCCTTGGTAAGACCTGATCTAAGTGGGTGCAGTTGTGAGATTTCTGTTAAGAAGCTGGGACTGTACTTGCTTTTATTATTGATTTTTTTTTCTAAGAGTCTTTTGAATGCATTTTTTAAAATGTACATCTTGTTCTCAAGAAGGCTTTGATCTTGTTAATCTTTTCATCTATGCATCAATCTGTTGTGTGAAAATGCTGGAATGTGCTCTTATTGTGGCAAGGGCTTTCTTTGGGTTTGTTTCCAATTTTTTTCACATAGTTTAGGGAATTTTTCTTCCCTGAGGCTCTCCCTCTGGCTTGATCCTACATGAAAGTTGACCACAGACGTGTCAGGTTCTAGAATGCCACTTTAGGCTATGTCTTTGAATTGTCTTTGCAGGGATTTACTGATACCAAATTGAAGCAATTATTTTTCTCTTTCCTTGCATTATGATAAAGAAAACATTTTGGGCAAGCCTGCACATTGAGCTATAAGAAGCAATGAGCTCCCTCTGCCTGTATTCACCAGGTGGGACACACACCAACCTTGAACTCAAACTTTTGTGGTTGCTATAGCATGAGGCAGAGTCTTACCTGCTCTCTGTCTGTGTTAAAGAGGTTGAGCAAACTGTACTGCTGAGGTTGTGGTAATCTGTCCAGTTCGAGGCATGGACAACATGATTAAATCCATCTGCATTTGGCCACATAGACTTAGCCTTAATCTTCATCACTTACATTTGCTTTTCTCTCCTAGTTCTCATGGGTTTAGACCTCAGGTTATGCTTTCCTAGTTACAGCCATGCTTTCCTAAAATGTCCATAGCAGCTATTCTTGTGAAAGCCCTTGTGTAAATGCAATCATAGGTCTGAGAAGTCATGCTCTGTGGTATAACATGAACCCTAAGGAAAGTGAAGAAGGGGTCATTTGGCAGCCAGAAAAAGAAAAAAGAAAAAAAGAAAAAAAGAAAAAAACAAACAAAAAAAACCCAAAAAACAAAAAACTGCCTGTCAAAATAGTACTTTTGTAACTGAGTCGAGTCAGGACTTTTGCAGTTGTGGGACCCTCACTGAGCACAGTGAAGTGACTAAGGAGTCCCTTTCAATTTTCCTCAGTGTGAACTAGAAATTGCTCTGCTGAATAGTTGATGTCATTGTGGTAGTTGCTGAGCACTTCAGCTGGGAGAGGAGCTGATTCCTTTGGCTCTGTCCATAACTGAGAGAGAATTTGACTTGTGAAGGTGGCCCGGGCAAAAGAAGGTTGGAGCATGAAAGGACACCTGGGAAGTGTGCTGCCAAAGCACAGAGCCTGGTGTTGACCTCTGAGGAGAAGACCTTAGGCAGTACTTCAAGATCTTTGAGTATTTGTTGTCCTTGATAGTGTTGACCTGTAAGTGTGAACTATTTGGTTTATGAAAACATAATGAATTTCTGTTTGTACTTATATCTTTTGCCTAGGTCCTAAGGGAGGCTAATAAATTGGCTGAAATGGAAGAGCCACCTTTGCTGCCTGGGGAAACCATTAAAGACATGGGTACGTGAAGAGAAAACTCCACATTGTTTGCTATACCCATAGAGCAAAATATCTTGGCAGTCACTGACCAACAACAGCAAATTGCAGATGTTTTGGGAACCATGATCAAGTTGTTTCATTAATTGAGCTATTGCTCATCACATGGGCCAAGGTAACTGTGTCTTCTTTTAGCACGTAGCAATTACAAAGTAATTTAATGTTCTTACCAGGAGTGATGGGGTGAGTTGCATTTGCTGCCTCCTGAGAGGACATGGATCAACTTTTCAGTTTGTCCTTGCCACAGGGTAACTTCCTAGGCTGACACAGCACGATTATGTCTTGGGCTCTAGGAAAGGATACAGTGTTTTTGTAGGGAACTTACTGTGATGGGGGATGGGCCTTTTCTTTTTTCATCCAGACATTCTGACATGCATCAGATTTGCTGATACTCTCCATTCTGAAGGCTGAGTAAGCCTCTTGATTAATTTTCTGTGAAAGATTTTGCATTTGCTTTTTTAACATGTTGCCTTCCTCTGAAGATGATAAGGAAGTGTGCAACTTCAGTCCTAAAAATACAAAAATCAAAAAGCAAAAACTGAAAATACTTCACAAAAATAAAAATGCACCCATCAACAATAATATAAAACCCAGGCAAGAAAACCTCCAAACAACCCACCACAAATGATGAATGATTTTTCTCTACCTCTTTCCTAAGGATTTTGAACTCATACTTCAACCATACACTGCAGTCTAATACCTAACTCACTCCACAGATGCAATCAGCTCTGACAGTGAGACAGTATTTTGAAGGGTTCCTAGGGAATGGTTTAAGAGATCAGAATTACCACCGTTTTATCTGTTGGCAAATGTGTGATGAGCCACATAAATCTATAGGACTAGGTGGCTTTTGGAGTAGCCTGGACAGCAGCTGCCTGTTCCAGCAAGAAGCTAAAGGCAGCAAAAAGGAAATCTTTGTTATTCACCAGCAATAATTGTTTCCTGTTAAAAGTGTGAAGAAAGGCAAATGTAATTCTCCATGTATTTTACAGGGAAGGGAAGAAAAAATATTTTCAGCCAACCCAATAATCTAGGGTAAGATTGGCCTGTAAAAGACAGGAATTCCACAAGCAGGGGAATTAGTAAATCTGGTTTCCAGTTTCTTTCTCCCATATGTATTCTCTTATACATACCAAAGGCTGAGCTCATTAGGCTTTCCCGTGGTGATAGCACCACTACAACCTCTCTATTATACCTGGCATTCGTTCTCACAAACAGTGAAGCACTTTAATGCCTTGGAGATCCCAGTTTATCAAGCAGAGACTGCTGAAATCATACAGCTGTGGCAGGGTTAAGGTCAGACAAGCCATGTGTGTAGGTACGTTTGTACATGCGCAGTGTAATTAAGTAAAATTGTTTCCTTAGGAAACCACGCTAATAAAATGCAAATGTGAAAGGTGGTGTGGCTTACAAGCTGGCAAGGCCAGTGTTTGAGATCGTGCCTGGGGTTCCTTACCTGGAAAACATTTTTCTAGCACCTTTCCTCTTTACCCAGAAATCCTGTTCCTTTTCAGATGTAAATGCACGCTTTTCTTATTAGTGGATTTTGCTGGGTTTTTTTTTAAGCATTTCAAAATTACATTTTGAATAATGGGAACTCCAGTGGAAAAACTAGGCAGGATGCCCTCTCCCTTGTTATGCTTCCTGAGTCTGCTTTCAAACCTCTGTCAAACTAGTCTTTGAAAAGAAGTGATTAGTAATCAGACACTAATGAAACACTTGGTTTAATTAGAAATGGCTATAAGCATTTTGTGTTTAATTGTCCTTCAAACAACTACATGTAAATTTATATAAATAAATGAAGAATGGAATTGCTAACNGCATAAAGTAAAAGTAATTGGGGTATGGCAATAGCCTACAAAAATTATGAAATGGGAAAAGAGGAGGGCTAAGAGCGTATTTTATTTCTTTTTAACCAGATATTGTGTGCTACATATTTTTTTGGAATTAGTCACCTCTGATACTTTAAGGGTCTTTCTTCACATCCAGATCTCGAGAGTCAATGAAGACAATGCAGAAGCCAAGCTAACTTGAGAATGATTTAGTTATATGAGTTGCCAGTGCCCTGGAATAAGGCAAACTTCTCTCTCCCCCTCTGGGCTAAATCTCATGGGATAAAAGTGGAAGAAATGTAGGCTCCCCTTCTGACATCCCAGTAGCCTCACACCTCATGTTCATGGTGACTGTCTCCTGGGTGGGGAGGCGAACCATCCTCTTGACAAAGCTCTTGCAAAATGGGTCTCATAGGGCTTGGAGGCTTGAGGTTATTAAGATGATGTAGGGAGTTTATTCATGGATCTGGCAGCTCTGGTCAGTGGGTCTCCTCTATGTATTGAGGGGTGTCATTACTTGTTGGTGATAGTGTAAACCATTGCCACGACACAGTTCAGTGGCAGAAGACTTGATAGGCGGCAGAGGTGGGGAGGCAACAGCTTAAATCTTGACATTTTTAATTGATATAAAACAGAAGGGCAGTTAAGAGAGGTGTTTGTTGTGGAAAGCCAGCAGCACCTCTTGCCTTTTGCTGGAACAAGTGAGAAACATTTGAGGCCTTTTAAGAAGGGGACTGTTTTGAGTCACCATCACTCAGCCTCAAAAATAATTGAATTGTGCAGAGTAACTTGATCGCTGACTTCAGACCTAAGATCACCAGCAGCTGGGTGTTACACAGATTCATGGCTCCTGCAAATCACTGTAGCTCTGCTGGCTTTTAGCATGAGGGCCTTCATCCCAGGGCTGACTCCATGTGCAAAGTTGTACAGAAGGACCCACACATCCTAAAAACCACATGTACAAGAACTACCTTCTTCTGCCCCTTGTGGCACAAACCATCCTGGGCACAATCCTTAGCTTTTATGCAGATTGTTGTCAGCTTCAAATGTGTGCATCCAGGCAGTAAGAGCAAACAGTTTGCACCAAACACTGGGCTGTTGACAGGGGTAGCAGTTTTGTGCAAATGTAGGATTCTGCGTGATGGTACTATCTCTACCCAAACTCTTACCTTCTCCACAGAACTGAAAGTTGTAAGTTGGCTCTAGGCTAGAACCACAGATTAAGTTTGTTTTAATTTCATGATCTGCAAGGTTGAGCCCACAAATGTTGTTGCTGGCATAATTTTTCTCACACAAATTAACTGTGAAATTAACAATTTCTTTTCTTTTTTTTTTTTCCCTTAAGCTAAGGATGTTACTTACATCTGCCCCTTCACTGGAGCAATCAGAGGAACCCTTACTGTTACCAATTATAGACTGTATTTTAAAAGCATGGAACGGGTAAGGTTTTGAAATAATCTGCTTTTGCTACCTTTTCAATCTATGGACCTAGGTGTTGTTTGAGAGTATTTCTGTGTAAAATGTAGCTATATGAATGGGAATGTAGACATAAGGGAGCAGGAGCTGGGGATTTTTCCCCCTCCCTTTTTTAAACTCACAAATTTCAACTGTCTACAGGACCCTCCTTTTGTCCTAGATGCATCTTTAGGTGTAATCAACAGAGTGGAGAAAATTGGAGGTGCTTCCAGTCGTGGTGAAAATTCATATGGGCTGGAGATTGTATGCAAGGTAAACTTTTATCTGTGTTTTACAATAAGGGAAGGTGAACATATGTTTTTAAAGGTTTTTTCTGTAATACTGTAGGAAGTTCTGCAAAATGTTTCAGTCAGTATGACTTCACAGGTGTCAAGAAACATGAATTTAAAAGTAATTTTCAGTATCCTCCAGTTCCACTCATTTGAGAAGAGGTCCAAACCTTTTTTCAGACTTCATTCTAGGCAATGGGTTTTCTTCATTGTGGAAGTGTAGGCCTGCATCCCCAGTTCTCAGGGTTGCCCATCAGACTTAATCTAGGTGTACTCCAGTTACTGTGGAGTTCAGTAGGCCTTTCGCTCATTTGCATTTCAAGAGCAAGAAAGGGGCACGTTTTCCTCCAAAATCATTAGCTCATGTCCACCTGCTGCTGTGCTTTGCTGTGAGGGACTGGTGAGTAGCCTTCATCAGGGCTGTTCTGTTTTTTTCAAGGCAGCACATATTTCACATGTGCCTCTCAAGAACCCTTGGAATAACTAGAAATACAAACTGCAGTAAAAATTAACAATTTACTTCCTCATGTCTGCTTCCTATAGACCCACGAAGTAGATAAAGCCACCATGTCCCCTCCTATATCCATATCTCTGGACGGCATGGTCCTTCAGCTTCCCTCAGTGACCACATAGGAGGAGCTGGATTCAGAACCTTGTAGGTCTTGGGCTGCTTAGACCTTGTCAAAGCCCCTCAATGCTGAAAGGATGCCACTTGCTGGATAAGAGCAGATGGAGGAATGAAAAGGAGTCCCAAACTGCTCTGGTCACTGCTGTGAATTTAAGGCACCAGGAAGCTGAGCAGACTGTCAAGCTGTGGGTGTGCTGAGTCAATACCAGTTACTGCAATCTGTACCAAATCATCCAGCTGCTCCCTTGTCCTATGGCAGCCATAATCTGCCCTGGCTAACATAGGGTGGGGTCCTTGTGCTGGCAAGCTAATTTGTTCCCTGTTTTAATCTGGATTCTTAGTCATCAGCTGTTTTGTCAGTAAGCACACTTGGTCAGATTTGGAGTGAACTGTATCATTTCCCTGTATGGGGAACTCAGGCACAAACTATAGGATGGGTTTTTTGGCTCTTTATAGCATATTTATATATGTCAGCCTGCTTCACCAGGATATGCACATCAGCTTAGTGCAATAACAGAGTGGTACAGTTACATCTTATGCATCCTGAAAAGTTCTGAGACCTGTCATGTAATCCCTGTGAGGAAGCAAAGTCTTCAGCTGTTTGTCTCATTCTCTGACTTGCTCTACCATCTTCATGTACTTGATAGCTCATTTCCTGTTGATGGGTTTTAGACTCTACTACAAGCATGTTAGTTGCAGACTTGGCTGGAAAAACTTAAGAGTTGCTTTATTTAGTTTCCAGATTTGCCTTTGTAGATGACTATGGAAAGGAGGTCCTGAATGACCACTTTTTGTCTGAACTGTGCCACTGTGCAAAGTGGAGGAGTTCTTGGTTTCAAGACATCCTCTTGAGTGCTCTGAGAGGTGGAAGCTTTAAAGGGAGATGGCATTTGATGCTTTGCACCCAACTGGCTGTTTTTGGGTCCCTTATGTGCAGTAGCTCTGTGGAGTTACTTTGTTAGGCCATCCCCTCCAGTGGTCTTAGGTACTGCATGGCATGAGAGCTCACTGAGAGACAAGGAGGTCTGTCTCACAAAGTCCTCCTGGTCAAATGTAGCTTTTTCATGAGCAGGGCTCTTCTCAAGACTTTCAGCAGGTGGAGAGCTTCATGTGAAGGCTGGATGCTGTGGTCAGGCACAGCTGTGCCTTCCCTTGGGTGCTCTGCTGCTGTTGGAGTCTGTAGACAACCCCTGAACCAAGCCAAACATTGCAATACAACATTGTTCAAAGTACAGTATTAAATCAGTGGTAGAAAGAGCATTGTCATGTGACCCTGTTTTGAATTCTGACTTTTGGATTTTCCTTGGATTTTGAAGTGGTTCAGAAATTTGCAACTTGATTTCCCTCTTTTTTTCCTCTAGGATATTCGAAACTTGCGGTTTGCTCATAAGCCTGAAGGGAGAACTAGACGATCCATATTTGAGAACCTAATGAAATATGCTTTTCCAGTTTCAAATAATCTAGTAAGTGTTTTCTCTTCAACTTTGTCAAAAGACACAGAGTAGCAGTAAACTGTTCTGTTCTGTCCCATCTACTTAATGCAGCATTCACATGGGGTGCATTTTCTTGAAGGATGAGGAGTGCTGTTTTTCAAATCTGTTTTAAACTTAATTCTATAGGAGTTTAGATCATATAGGAAGCAGGAAAAGTCTATTACAGTGCCTTCTTTCATGCATGGGGAATGACTTACTGGTAAAGCCTTGTAATGAAGGGAAAATCCTCAAATCACAGTGACATCCATCAGAGGTTTGCAGCTAATGGTGACTGCACTGCCCCAAATCTGGAATGCACCCCCCCCCCCGTTCTCTAATGTTATGACATTGCAATTGTTGTTTCAAATGCTGGTTGAAAGCATCTGTTTGTTAATCTGTAAGTGCATTCTTGCCTAAGTAGTTTTATCTTCTTTCTTTAATAACAAACTCCTTTTGTCTGTGAAGTACTAGGTAATAGCCAAGCAAGATCAGGGACATATTGGAAAGTACATTGTTGTACTAATTACCTGCTACAGTGAGAGTGTTAATCTTTTTTATAGAGCCCTGAAAGAAAAGTGATGCAGTGAGGAAAAAGAAGGGTCAGTCATGAGTTACTCTTTGAGATATCAAACATCCTGTAAATGGGCTCTGAGTGGGCTCTTAATGGTAAATTTTCTTTCTTTCAGCCACTTTTTGCCTTTGAGTACAAAGAGGTTTTCCCAGAAAATGGATGGAAAGTGTACGACCCAGCTTGGGAGTACAGAAGACAGGTGGGTATTGTGCCACATCCTTCCTCATCATCTACTCTTCAGGAATGAGGGTCTATGCAGTAATATAATTGCAGGTGACATGGAGCAGAGACTGATTCTGCTGACAAATGTCATGCAGGCTCAGTTAGGATGTTGTTCTCCACGCTGCAGTGCTTGTTGGGAGCAGTACAGCTTTAGAGATAGAGGTATCCACTGATGGACATTAGTGTGTGCTTGTATTAGTTTTAATTCTTTCCAGGTTTTCCTGTTTTAAACAGCAACTTCGGGGGGGAAAAAATTAAGTGTAGAATACCTTCACTATCTTTGGCATGGTTTCTCAGCATAGGGATCAACCTAGAGAGTACTGTGATTTACCATGATTTAGAACACAGTTGCAGTGTGTCCGGAGTCGACTGAACAAAGCTATTAATGATTATGAAGTGACAGGCTGTTAATTAGGAATACTTTGGTAAAAACTTGAGTAGTCCTCTCTGGAGTAAAAGATGGGAGAGTTTTGATTTTTATAAAATTACTCCTGTCATAAAATGCTGAAGTAGAAGAAGGAGCATGATTTGGTGACACGTTTGCCCTGGACACAATAAGCTTCTGTCTCTTCCAGATTCATCAGAATAAACCCAATTTTCCATTGTAAAATTAAGAAATTTTAAGCCATGCAATTTAAAGATTTATTTAGGTCTTTCTCATCAAATCAAACAAAACCAGACCTCTGTCCCAGCCTAGTTATTCATCTGATTCCTGGAATCCAAAACCTAAGGATTTATTTTTCTAGCTCTAGTCTTCTCAAAGCTGGGCATGCCTTCTAAATTGGTTATCTAGGCCTGTCATTAACAGATGGGAGCGAGCGCTTCACTGTTGGGGGTGATTTGTTCTCTCCTAAAATAGCTGCCTAAGATAGATCGCTGGCTTCTAGGCTGCTAATGGGAAGTGAGATGTATCTTACTGTATCTCACTGTATGCTGCCTTCATTGCAAAGAAGTATATGTTCTGAAATGAGATGCCACAATCTAAAATCCTGGTTGAGACAAGCTCCAATCATTTGTAATCACTTTGTGTCTAAGGTCAACTTGACCATAAGATCAGATAATACAGTGATTATTGGTTTGTTTAGAATTTACTTCCTTCTTGGTAGTTATTTTATGGGAAGATCTGCTTGCAGAGAAGGATTTGCAGCTCAAGCTATTTGAGTAAGATGCTTCTTTGTAGGGCTGAGAATTTTGGAGTAACATCTAAAGAATACCTGCGCTATCAAAATAATCTCCATTGGAAAGCACAGCATTCACTCAGCCAAGCATCAGTCAAAACAGGTGAAGTACAAAAGACATTTTTACAGCACCTGGAAAGAAGAAAGGGTGACCTTAGATAATTTCAGTGTGGATTATATTCCACTTTCTAATTCTTGGCATGTTGGTTTTTATGATAGAACCTTTTCTGTCCGTATTAGTTTTTATACTGTGATTTGGTGCACCTTAAATTTGTCAGGAATTTGATTACATGGTGAAAGAATACATGTGTTTGCATGCCTGTGATTTGCAGCTCTTCATGGCCTTTCTGTAAAGAAAATGAGCGTAAAACATGACACAGCTGAGGCATTGCTGCTGTGTGTACTTGTGCTGTGGCCTGCTTTTCTGTTGTTTGTGAGTGGGAAGGACAAACTTGCCTGACTGCTGCTATGTCAAGAAACCAAAGTAATATCCACAATGCCCATGGTCATTTCCTTACATTGGTAACTGTAAAAGCAAATCCAAACCAGGATTTTCTGCAGCCACAGCCTTTCTGAGTTTTACCCATGATGGGCCACAGTCACTACCATTCCAGATCACACAATCCATCTGTTCCAGTTCCTTATCTCCAAAAGTGACCAACACCAGCTGCTGAGGAAGAGGCAAACCATACTGCACTAGATGTTTATGTTGTGATCTGGCCAGGAGGAGAGTTTCATCTCTTTTGTTAGATTGATTTAAGTCCTGGAGCATGATGCAGGACCCTCCAAAACTTTAGGTATTTCGGTCTGTTTATTTAATTCCGGCATTTGTAACTATGGATGTTCAATTTATCTGTGTGAATGTCGTAGCCTTTTTTCTTAATCCAACCAGGTTCTGCTAAAGCAATAACAAATAGTACAGTAAATCAGGATTATGTCTTGAAATGGCAGCAGAGATTTGTTAACAGTGAAACAAAACTGGCATCATCAAATCAGATAATGGGATTACCTGTCTCTGACGCTATGAATTGTGATCAGAAATAGAAAAGCAGGACATATGCACTGTCAGCAGGACCTTCTGGAGTTGGTTTAAAAAGTGTTGGAGGAGTGCTGGCCTAGGGCAGCCCAGCAGGATGGCCAGGCATTAACTTGCTATATCTTAGGCCAGGTCAGGGTTTTTGCTGTGGGAGCAGGGACACACACGGAGAGGGGAGTGCCACAAAAGTAAACTCCAGCTACCAGGCATCCAGGAAAGACTTTGAGACCAGGATCCATGGCAAGATCTATGTCCACATTGGTAGACATGGCAAGTTTGTGGTACTATTTATTTATTATATTTTTATTAAAATTAATAGAAATATGTCAAGATGATAGCAATTGTAGCAATTAGGAAAGATACTCAGTAAACCCCCAACTTCCCTGTTAGCATTCTTGGGAAGGATGGAAATATGTAACTTACTAAAAATCTGTGATTGTGTAAAACTATGGGGAGTAATAAACAACCTGTAGAGAACAAAAGGAACTCAGAGAGGTTTGAGATTTAGTTGGTAAATGGAATCACATGTAGCAAATGAAATTTAAAACTGAAATTGCTCCCTGATTTTTATTACACATGGGCTGGCAGAATATAAAACAGAATTGCAAAGTGAATAAGACTCACTTGAAACCAAAAGTCCTTAAGATGCCTTTGGAGTAACTTAAAGCTTTATTTTCCTTAATAAGGTGAGGAGCATTTGGAAAATATTACAAGAGGTTGTGAAGTTGTGTGATGTTTCCCTACAAAAGTCATTCTTGTCCAATATCCTTTGCTCTGGTCGTATCTACTGGGGAGCCACAATGTAGGGCTGTGGTTGCTGCTTTCAGAGAAAGCACGTAGAAACTAATAACTCAGAAGAACTGACCTGTTTTTAGGATAAAAAAATGCCCAGCATTAGTATACAACCAGAGTTGGAAAGGTAGAGCTTGATAACATCATCCTCCAGAGGATTGTTGGGTGTAGCTTAAGGGAGCAAAGTAAGGATTGAACTGTTAAACGTCCCATGGTTTAACTGAGGTCATGCTTATGCTGGGTATGTCTCTACTGCAGAAGAGATCACAGCTTTCTGGGGCTGAGTGGGCACATCCTGGGCTCAGTAAATGGCAGAGGGACCAGCTCGGCTCTGCAGCTGTGTTCTGTGTTGCTTGCTGCAGATCAAGGTGCACTTACATATCTAAGCTCAGAGTGGATCTGCTTGATCCCATAGAGGGGTGTGGCTGCATGTAACTACAGCAAGGAAATTATTTTTTTCCTGTCAGTGAAGGATCCTTATGTGCTTGACCTTAACCATGTGATTTGCAAAGTGGTGGCATTCATGCTGTGCTGGTGTGGCTTCAACAGTTTTTCCCTGCAAACAAAGAAACTGCATCTTGTACAACATCCAGTGTAAATCAAGTGATAACCAAACCCCAGTCATTACAGTAAGGCATGAATGTCTACCTAGAGAGAAGCCCAGTCTAGTTTGTGTGTGGAGAGGACACAAAGGCTGTGTCTCTATGGTTAGATGATACAGCTGTAAGGAGTGTTCCCAAGCACAGGGGCAAGTTTCAGGCATAGCTACAGACCAGACTGTTACCATCCATCTTTTGAGTGAGTGTGTTTGAGCATCTTTAGCCATGCACAAAGGTACTGTGGTGCAAGACAAGGATGACCTGTGGCAGTTTGTACAAAACATCCTGTTTGGAGGATAAATGAGTTCAGATGTGAGGTGCATTGCTTCAGCTGGGCTCACTGAGAACGGTCATGGGTATATTTATTTTATGACTGTACATGTGGCTTTGCTGCCTTCCTTAGTTTGCCCTCTGGCAGCCACCAGAGATATGAATTCCCCTAGAATCAGGGGCTGCTAGCAGCATTTATTTACCTGAAGACAGACCTGTGCAGAAATCTCTGGTCACTAATGTGGACATGCTGTGTTCCTTGGCAGCTTCAGGATGATCACAAACTGCTTTTAGTGAGGCATGCCTGAGTTCCTCCTGCAGGTGCACAGGCAGGCAGCAACCAGAGCCACTCCTTAGCCTGCAGAGGCTTACTGAGTTACATCTGTAACAGTTTGGTTTTATAGTAGGCTTTTGGGTGCTTACAACTCACTGGGAAGCAGTGAAATGCATCTTAGATGAGGAAATACCAGTGTGCTTTATATCACGTTCAGCTTTTTCTATTGATTCCAGCTGGAGAAAGGGCAAATCTGAAGGAGCACGAATAAATGCAGAAGCTACACTGCATTATGGCAAACGTCCAGGGAAGATGCAAATTCAGCTTCTCTTCTAGCCCACTTGGCTTATTTCGGTTTGCTTCCAGTCCTTAGAGAAAGTCACGATCTGAATCCAAAGTGTTCTGGGCGGTGCTGTGATTCAAGGCCCCTGGGCCAGGGAAAAGCAGACATTCCCCATGAGTCAAAAGGAACTTGAATGTTGACACACAGCATCTTTTCTTTCTCTGTGGGCTTGTCATGGATTTTTTTCTGGTCTAGGCTATTACAGAGGAAAGATTTCCTTCAAATTTGTCAGTGTGGCAGCTGAAAGAGCTTTGGAGAGCTTTAGATCTCAGTTCTGGCCCGAGCAGTGTGCTCTGGAGCCACACTGCCCAGCACTGTGAAGAGGGTGCTTTCCAGGGCCTGCTCCTCGGTCTTCTCCATGAGCATTGGTAGAGTTTCTGGGCAAAATGAAAAGGAGCTTTTCTTCCATGTAGCTGCTTGTTAGCTCTCATTTTTCTTGCCAAGACTGTGCTGACAGTGTAATTTCCATTCAGATTTGGGGGAGGTGCAATTTTCTGGAATTGCTTATGGATCCATTGCATGTGCTTATTAGGACAGGACTGAAAACTAATTTGCCATTAGTCCACTTCCAGGTAATAAACAGATTGGTCACTGGCAAGAGTCTAGCTAATCCCTGGCTGGCAGCAGAGCTGGTGAGCCCAGCAGATTCCATCCTTGCTGTGTACAGCAGGTAGACCTCTGAGCATGTTTTGCCCATCAGTAATCTTGAACTGTGTATACACACTGCTTGATGTCTGGTTCTGCCAATTCTTCGGCTTCAGACAGTGCCAAAAATAGCTTTCCTTCAGGCTTTTGGGGTGATCCTTGTAGTAACATTTCCTTCCCAGGGAGGGCCAAAGGACAGCAGTGGTTCACAAAGCAGGGTGTGTGACTGATATTAGACAGGAGGTCTGGCCTCCCCTCAGATTTCTAACCATGACCTCTTTTGACAGCGTGACTCACCACTGGGATGGGGAACCGGCTGCAGTCTGTATGGGTCAGCCCTAATTATCACAGCTCGTCTGACTCGTGTTAGATGTGTCATTTATTTCCTGTGGGAGCCACCACAGGGTAATCAGTGTCCCACCACCCTCCTTTAAAATGAAGTAGTGTTTGTTAGAACAGAGGCATGTATTGTATAAAGAGTTGATGTTCCCCTAAAACACACTTGGTGCTTCACAGCCTGGCCGTGTTTGCTGCAGCAGATGTGTCTTCCCCACAGAGATGCTTTGTGTCAGTGCTCACCCCTGCTGCAGTAGGGGTCTTTAAATTCCTCTTTGCAGGCAGCTGCACCAGCCACTCCTTGTTGGTCTGTTCTCTCCCAGCATCAGCCAAAACACGTGTGCAGGTTGTCAGGGTTTTGTGCTTCAGGTGTTACTTGGAGATTGTTGTCTGGGAAGCTGTTGAGTGGCTTCCCCATCACAGCATGCTGAGCTCTGTGATGTGTGTGTGGAGATTCCCTGCTCTCCCAGCCCAAGTCCTTGTACAGTCAGAGAGCTCAGTGTGATGGGAAACATGGGAGTTGCACATCGCATACAGTCATGCAGAGACATACAGTTGTTAAGTTTTTGGTGTTTTAGAGGTTTTCAGAGGTGTGCCACAAACCAGGTTGATTTTTTTGGGTGTTTTACTGCCTGTTCTCCCTTCTCCCCCTTCCCTCCATTCTGTCTGGTAACTCCACTTCGTATCCCCAGTTTTCACCCAACATGTTTGAACTTAGTGCCATGAGGGGACTGAGTGTGTCACCCATTCTGCCCTGCTCCTGGCTCTCCTCTAAGTCCCTGATGAGACCAGTAGATATCTTAAAGATGGGCTCAGGGGCACCACCTGTGTTGCTACATCTGTGGCCTCCACAGTTCCTTTGCCATAGGTGACCCTGCCTGAAGCAGTTTCTCTGCTCTTCAGTGGCTTCAGCAAAACATCCACCTCTCTGGGGGGAGACATGAAGTGCAAGTTATGAAGATAATGCATTCGCAGGTGCCAGCCCTGAATGCCCTTCAATAACAAAAGTTGCCTTGAATTTCAGGTTTGGGGATTTGTCTGTGCTGAGGTCTCAGAGCAACTCATTTGCTAACCTGCAGTTTCCTCTTTAGGGAATTCCCAATGAAAGCTGGAGACTGACCAAGATTAATGAGCGCTATGAGCTGTGTGATACATACCCCGCCATTCTAGCTGTGCCTGTAAACATTCCCGATGAGGAATTAAAGAGAGTGGCATCCTTCAGATCCAGAGGACGCATACCAGTGAGTGGGACAGAAGAAGCCACTTTGATGTGGTTTTGTTACACATACCTTTGGGCAATAAGTAATACCAAGATCAGGCTGAGTGGATTCCAGGGAGCAAATAAATGGTCAGCGGATAATAAAAGTGACAACAACATGTTTGAGGACATAGAAAACAACAAACTGAAACTACTGTTGTGAAAGAGATGTAGACTAAACCAAAACTAGAAGATAAGATAATTTAGCACAACTCAGACCAAATCTCAGTTCAGTTCCTGAATTGGAAACACAAGGCAGCCCTGCTTGTCTGTTTACAATTGTCTGGGACAATTTTCAGGGCAGAGAAATACACAGTGATAGTCTTGATGAGAGCACTTATTTTATGAAATTAAGACAAAGCACATTGTTATGATGATTATTTCAGAGGTAACTGAAAAGTTACTCCTCAGGTTTATAGAGGTTTACTCCTCAAGTCTATAGAAAATTCAGTCTGTACCTAAAGTGCTTAACTTTTACGTGGTGTAACATAAAGTAAGATATAGTCCATATACTGACTCACACAACAGCCAGAAAAACAGTCTGCATTATATTTAAAGGTCAGACTTAAACAATTTGATCACCTTTTGTTTGTTCAAACTTTGAGAATGCCACCAGAATGAATAAGGACAGAAGAGTTCTTTCTTTCATTCGGTTGTGATTTAATAGAATCCAGCCTTCTGAAACCTACTGATAGAGTATCCCAGAGCAAGCCATTACAGGTAATTCACTTCACTGGTTTAATGAATCCAATTTTTCCTTTATCTATTTCCCATTTGTTTCTGAAGGTCTTGTCATGGATTCACCCAGAAAGTCAAGCCACGATCACTCGCTGTAGCCAGCCCATGGTGGGAGTGAGTGGCAAGCGGAGCAAGGAAGATGAAAAGTACCTTCAAGCCATCATGGATTCTAATGCCCAGTCCCATAAAATCTTCATATTTGATGCAAGGCCTAGTGTGAATGCTGTAGCCAATAAGGTTGGTTACTTTCTCCTCTCTCTAAAATTGGGAATGTAATAATTTAAAGCACGTTTCCCACCACCATTTCATACTATTCTTAAGGATCACAAAAGGGTTTTCCACTGCAGAAGAAGTCTACATGCAATGACCTGATTCTCTAGACATACTTTTATACCTGCACTGGTATCTGTAACATACCAGTGTGGCTGCTGACAATCCTTTATATTAATTTACAGTGGGAAATGAGATTGGAAGGGGAAAAAAATTGAAGTAGTACTGAGGTCAGACTCTAGTACCCTTGACTTTGTGTATCACCATTTTTCAATTCACATGGTTGAGAGACTGCTTCCTCTAACAGGGCTCAGAGCCCTGTCCAACCTGACGTTGAATGTTTCCAAGAATGAGACATCTACCATTGTTCTGTAAAGCCTGCTCCAGTGTTTTACCACCCTTATTGTGAAACGTTTTGTCTTTATGTCTAGTCTGAATCTACCCTCTATTACTTTCAAACCATTCCCCCTTGTCCTATTACAACAGGCCCAACTAAAACACCTGTCCCCATCTTTCTTAGAAGCCTCCTTTAAGTACTGGAAGGCTGCTATAAAGTCTCTCCAGGGCCTTCCCTTCTCAGCCTTTCCTCACAGGAGAAGTGCTCCTGATCTCTGATCATCTTTGTGGATTTGATCCAACAGGTCCCTGTCTTTCATGTGCTGAGGACCCCAGAGCTGATGCAGCACTGCAGGTGGGGTCTCAGCAGAGCAGAGGGGCAGAATCCCCTCCCTGGCCCTGCTGCCCACACTGCTTTGGATGCAGCCCAGGACAGGATTGGCTGCCTGGGCTGTCAGTGCACATTGGCAGCTCATGATGAGCTTTTCATCCACCCACACCCCCAACTCCTCAGCAGGGCTGCTCTGATCGGTTCATCCCCCAGCCTTTGTTGATACAAGGGGTTGCCCCAGCCCAGGTGCATCACCTGGCACCTGGTCGTGTTAAACCTCATGGAGTTGCCATGGCCCACTTCCTGAGCTTGTCCAGGTCCCTCTGGATGGTGTCCCATCCTTCAGGAGTGTCATCTGTGCACCTGATGAGGGTGCACTTGATCCTTCTGTTTGTGTCACTGATGAAGATATTAAGTAGCACTAGTCCCAACACAGACTCCTCAGGGACACCACTTGTCACTGCCTGGGCATTGAACAATTGGCCCCTTACTGTCTGGCTGTGACCATCCAACTTCTCATCCATCAAACTGTCTGCCCATCATCTCCAGTCTAGAGAGACGATGTTGTGGGGACTCTGTCAAAGGCTTTACAGAAGTCCAGGTAGATGACACCCATAGCCCTTCCCTTCTCTGCTGCTGTAGTCTCTCCACCATAGAAGGTCACTGGGCTGGTCAGGCCGGATTTGCCCTTGGTAAAGCTGTGCTGGCTATGATGAATAACCTCCCTGTCCTCCACATGCCCTAGCACATCTTCTGGAAGGATCTGTTCCATGATCCTGCCAGGCACAGAGGTGAGGATGAGAGGTCAGTAGTTCCCAGGGTCCAACATTCTCATGATTCTACCCTTCTAAAAATTGTGTTCCATGACATCACTTTAAGCTTTGTTTTAATGGTGGAGCTGTTTTGTTGCAGTAAAGATTTTTTTTCTTTTCTTTTCTTTTTTTTTTCTTTTTGTTTTTTTAATCTGCCTTTCCCACTTAGGAAAGGCAATTAGTGTGTGGGTTATCCTCCTCTGTAATAGTACGGTAAATTTTTAAATGATAGATTGGCGAATGTAATGAGTTAACAGCTTGAATGGGGATAAATTATAATTACAGAGGAAAAGAAGGCTTGTAATGTGATATTCTTTGGTAAAAATTATAGCATTCATTAGGTATTGCAGAAGAGAGACAAAAAGTGTGTGCCTGTACGTGTTTGCTCCCAGCTGTAAGATAAAGCAAATGGTTTTTACTACTTTAGATAGCCCAGCCACTGTGGTATTCTGTCAGCTGCTATTTGCTCAGGACAAATGACTGGGATAAACTACAAAATATGGTTTTGCTTAATGATTTCTATGTGAATTTTGTTCTTCAGGCTAAAGGAGGGGGCTATGAGAGCGAGGATGCCTATCAGAATGCAGAACTAGTGTTCCTGGATATTCACAATATTCATGTTATGAGAGAGTCGCTGAGAAAACTGAAAGAAATTGTGTATCCCAATATCGAGGAGACTCACTGGCTGTCTAATTTAGAGTCAACTCATTGGCTAGAGCATATCAAGGTATGCATGTCTGCATCCACTGTATGTGGCTGAGCAACCACAAGTCCTTACCAGTCTGGGAAAGATATCCAGGGCTAAGCCCAGGGTTTTCAACTCCTTGTAAATTTAAAGACTTAGAATTTGTTTTCCATTTATAAGCAATTAAAATCACAGTTTCTTGGAGTGAGGAATCTTAAGGAGATGAGAAGGACAAGAAAGGGGGCTGAAGTACTGAAAGATGGTGTTTTGGAAGTGAAGGATTTTCCTGGGTGATGTGTAACTTTGAAAGCTCTGCTTAGAACTCAGGAGTTACAGTGTTTCCAAGTCCCTGACATCTTGGCATTATTGCCTGGTCCAGATGAGCAGATGCTGCGAGTTTGGGCCCTCTCAGCGTTTCTGGAATCCGAGCAGAGTCAGAGTAAGGAGGCAAAATGTTTTGGCTTCTCCAGATGCTGGTTTCTAAATAATGTCCTTTCTGTTCTAAAAATGTCCAGCTTACATTGTTGCTCTGCTGTTGCAGAGGGCCAGATTTGCTCCTGGGGCAGCTGCAAGGTGACACAAAATGCTCCTGCATTTAAATCTTGACTTGTCCAAGGACTGAGCTTTGTGCAAGAGCTCCTCTAGAGTTGTGCCTACACTACAATTTAGATGTGTCGTCATCTTGCTGGAACAGAAAATGTGTTCACCAGTTTGCTGTCCTAGTTATAAAGTAGTTGGAACTGATTTACCATTCTCCTTGAGGCAAGCAGAGCCCTTGGTTTGTCCTGTGCTGTCACTAGCCATTTTTCATGTATAGTTTCTGTTCCAAAGAGATTTTGTAATTCGTTTTTTCTCTTGTCCTAGCTCATTCTTGCTGGAGCCCTTCGGATTGCTGACAAAGTGGAATCGGGGAAGACATCTGTGGTTGTACACTGCAGTGATGGCTGGGACCGGACAGCCCAGCTCACCTCTCTCGCCCTGCTCATGCTGGATGGCTACTACCGAACCATCAGGGGCTTTGAAGTGCTCGTGGAGAAGGAGTGGCTGAGCTTCGGCCACAGATTTCAGCTGGTGAGTCACGAGCCCATGGAAGGCGCTGAACAGAAAGTTATTGTGCCTCTTGAAGGATTTCAGAGGAGTTTAACATTTCCTATGATGTTTCCTGGCTGAACTCACAGATGAGAGGTAAACGCTGATGTTACTGTTTTCTACCTATAATTCCGTTCATCTCTTAACCTCCCTTGGGACTGTATTGGTCAGATATAAGGAACAGGTGGTATTTAAATGTCTCAGATATCTGACTGATAATGTCATGTTCCCATGCTTAGGCTTAAACTAGCAATATGCTTTGAGTTCAGTGCTGGCATTTCTGTTTGGAGCTGGCAGAGACCACTGGGGTATTTTTTGTCTTTGTTTCCAGTTCAGTCCATTTTCTCAGTCTGCTTGGGCACTATCATCTAAGAATTGCTTTGATATTGAAGAGGTTGGGGAATTTGTTTATAGCCTTGACCTCACATTTTCTTCAGGCACACTTTATTTTTGGACAGGCTTCTAATTATTTAGGTGAAAGAGCAGCAGTTTGAGCCTGGACCAAGAGTAGTTTGTGGTTGTGCCCTTGCAGTTGGCAGAGAGGCAGCTTTGTGGGCTTTTGACACAGCAGTTTGTTATGGTTTGCACTGATGGAAATTGAGAGACTCTTTCACTGGTATCCTTTCAGTCTTTGTTCCTATTGTGTTTTGCTTGTAGCTGTTCTCCAGTAATTTTGCAAGGGCTAGAACAAGGTCTGTGTACAGCAGCTGCAGTGGTGGGTTGCACTCTCAAATTCTTTGAGGAAAGTGGGGAAACTGAGGCACTAAAGCAACTGTGGTTCTGCTGCAGCAAAACTTGTTATCTGGTATTTGAACAACGAGTGTTTTAGCTTCTTCACTGTCTAGACAAGGAAGATACTGACAGTGATTTCCTTGAGGGGAAAGCAGTATTAGGGATCTCTGTTACTTACATATTCTTGTTCAATCTTTATGCAGTACTTGGGTAATATATAACCATTAATGTACTCCACTACTTCTGCGGAGTCGTGCCTCACATGTGTTGGCCACACAGCACGGCCAGGGTTGGAGGGCTGCTTCTGGGAACACTGTCCCTGCTGCCTCTCTGGAGGTGGCAGGAGATGGGCCGGGCTGGTGTTTGTACAGCTCTTGGAAGCCGTGAGGTGTTGCGTGACGGTTATCGCCGCATGCCGTGCCTGTAGGTAGTGTTTGCATCTAGCACCCTCTACTACTGAAGTAGCCAGGACAACAGCTGCAACTGAAGCAAAAAGCATTCGCGTTTTTTTTTTTTTCATCTGAACTTTAGCTATTAACTGAAATCAGTGCCAGCATAGCATCTGGAGCCTCTACTCAAACAACTCTTGTTTTAACTTAGCATGAAAATATCCCCATAAAGAATTTTCACTTCAAAGACAAAGAGAGAGTAGCTGTCCTTTACTCCTTTACCCACTGATATGGACAAAGGAATATCAGGACCCATCTGAAGTTTTTTAAAGCCGTTGGTAAAGGTTTAGGTGGCTGAGAGCAGACCCCAGCAATTCCCCCATGAAGCCCTGTGTGACTCGAGTTCTTTGTCCTGCTGTTTCAGAGAGTTGGCCACGGGGACAAGAATCACGCGGATGCGGATCGCTCCCCCGTCTTCCTGCAGTTCATCGACTGTGTCTGGCAAATGACAAGACAGGTAAACTGCTGGGGGGCACCCGTGTCCACAGAGCCAGTGCACCCAGACATGGCACAGTGTCTGGACACAGGAATGGTTTCCAATGTGCAGGCTCTCCCTCCTGGGCTTGTATTCTTGCTTTGATTCCAGCAGCAGGCTTTTTGGGAGTCTGTTTAGCAAACAGCCTGAAAGCACTTGCTAATATAAGTCCCTAGCACGGTGGGTGCAGCAGATCCCTGCTCAAATTGCCTCTGCTCAAACTGTTCCTGTAACATGCTCCATTTTAACTTCTTCTGAAGGCAAATGTACTGCTCCCAATTCATAATGTGAGGTACGGAGCTGAGTGCCTCACTTCAAACCAGGCATGGCAGAGGTACAGTCCAGGAAAGATCCCCTCTGTGTGGGAGGTTTTTCCCCAGGCCCATGGTTTCTATGGAACCTGGAAGACTTTTTGTATCTTCTGTGACACAAAAGTCAGCTATGGTCAGCAGTTCACTGGAAAAAAAGCTAGACTCCACCATGGGTTAAACCAGGAGAAATGGAAGAGAAGGATGGCACTATATATGACACTGTACCACATCCATGCAGAGAGAAGAGGAGGCTTTGCCATCATCAAAAGTCACTTTCATTGTGGTCTCCTTGGATTGCTCCTACAGCTGGGCATCCTGACCTGCAGCTGGCAAGGTCAGGATGTCACAACTGGGGCAGCCTGGGAAGAGGAGGGTGTTTGTGAGGGAGGAAGGTCTCCTGCTCTCCTCTCCATCACCCCTGCATGTCTTTGCAGTTCACTGCATTTATTCTTATTGACCCTTTGTGGAGCTTCAGTCGTCCCTGTCTCGGGTCAGATTGTTTCTGCACAGAACTCAGCAACAAACACGGCCTGTGCCCATAGACCTTTTGCTCCTGCTGACCTCTGTCACAAGGTGCCTCCCTGCTGTTCCCTCTGGGAAGTGCTGTGTTAGGCTCCCAGGTTTTTTTGATTTGGCCCTGGGAATTTTCCACTTTTTGAATATATTTATTTCACGTGTGCCTTTTGTTCACAGTTTGGCTGCATGGCTTGTCATGAGGGACAGGCATAGCAGAACAAGCTTCAATTTGAAGCAGCACTGAGTACACATAAACACAGTGCTCTAACCCCTCAGACCTCTGGCTTTTGCTCAAAATTCCTCTCTGAACATGCAAAGCAGCTTTCCAAGAGGGAAACTTGCTCCTGAAAGGAGCAAATATGACCCTGAATATCCAGCCAGGCAGGGAACAGGGACAGATCCTGTTCTAGAAATCAAGAGCCAACTCCTGACCAAGACCACAGTGTGGGAGAAAGTTCATTTTCCTGTTTTAAAATCCCAACCTTATTTTCTGCCTAAAGTTTCCTACAGCATTTGAGTTCAACGAGTACTTCCTGATCACCATCCTGGACCACCTGTACAGCTGTTTGTTTGGAACCTTCCTGTGCAGCAGTGAGCAGCAGAGAGTGAAGGAGGTAAGACAGCTTCTCTCCGAGGTGAAAGCCTGTTCCTGATTGCTTTAGCTGGCCAGATGTCGCTACAGAAGCTGGTTCCTCACTCAGAGATAGTTGTAGATGTGAGTCTGGGAAATGCCAAGCCCCCTTCTCAACAGCTGTGACTTGGGGCATTTTTCTCTTTGCATAAAGTGCTTTCTATTGGAGGCTTAATGTTTCAGAGCAACACCATCTCACTTCTGGACACTGTCTGCTTCCAGTTAGTCACTAGTGGTTGAGTAGCTCCTGGTGTCTCCCAGGTAGTAGAAACACAGTTTTGCTTTGAACTTGAGTTTACTGTAACCTTCTCTGTGGGAACTGGTACTATTTTGTCATGCCTTTTCTTTGAAGTGGTCCCTTTAGGGTGCTTTAAACTACCTAGTGTGTGCTGTCATTCTGCACACACGGGTTACAGCAAGTAACTGGTCTTTACGTGTGTTCTTGCTGTGCTTGCATCTTCCCAGGAGAGGACAACTCTCCTGCTATATTATTAAGGACGTGCCTGTCTGTCCTGCCACAAGCTAGCTCTGCCCTGCAGTCTGGCTGAGGTTTGTTTGTCCAGGGAGGAGCATAGAGATGTGTACATCCAGCCCCAGTCTGGAATTAGAAGGAAAACAGTGGCACTCATTCTGTCTCACCTACCTGACAATGAAGCATTCTGTCACCAAAGGCTGCAGCCTAACAGCACAGAGGTACATGAGGGCAGTGCTGTGTGGACCTGATGTGATTACATTTGATAGAATATCAAGTTAAAAATAACACTGGAAAATAAAAGTGATAGCATTTTCCTACAGTGAGATCAGTGTCCCTGTCTCTCTGGAGTCCGTAGTGATTGAATAATTGTCATTTCCAGGGAAGAAAATCTGCATGCTGTTTGCACATGGGTTTGGGTTTTTTTTTTTTTTAAAGGCCTCAGCCTAGTGAAATACTTAAACTAGAAAGTACTTCAGCACTGGTTTTAATGGGAGTATTCACAGGCATAATTACTCCACTAGATCAGGGCCTAAGTCAAATGTTTTCTTCCTTTGCAATTAAATAGTCCAGCAAGTCCTCCAGGAGCACTTCAGAGAAGTGAAGTTTAACTAAAGCACGGGGAGTTCACATGCCGATGTTCCCTCGCTGTAGCAATGGTGATTCCCGGTCTGTGTTGACAGCTGGGTGGGTCAGAGGGGTTGTTCCGTGCCAGGGCGTGTGTGCCTGCCTGCATCCATGTGCTTTGAGTACAAGAACCACATCAAAAGAACAGTTTGGGTTTTTTTTTTTTAAGCTACAAAAACCAGCCAGCTCCGTATTAATGACAGGCATATGTCTGTGCTGCTATAGTTTGTAGATAGCTGGGATTCGTATGGCAAATAAAGCCTCCTCCACCCCCTTCCCTTACAGAGCCTTCCAAAAAAGACTGTATCACTTTGGTCTTACATCAACAGCCAACTGGAGGAGTTCACTAACCCCTTGTACGTGAGCTACTCCAATCATGTCCTGTATCCCGTGGCCAGCATGCGCCACCTCGAGCTGTGGGTCGGCTACTACATCCGCTGGAACCCCAGGATGAAGCCTCAGGTACGCCTCTTCCCACTCCTGCTTCCCTCTCTGCTAGTACCAAGAGTGCTACTTCAGAGGTCACGACCTTTAGGTAATGATGCTGCCACTGCTTAAATCTGAAAACAGACGCCTGAATTCAAATGCCAGCAAGAGCAGGCAGCACCTAGAGCTGCCTAGTGCAGGTGCCCAGCTGGGCATCACCACCTTGTGAAATCTGCAGGAGATGAAGATTCTCAGCAATCTGGGAAATTTCTCACTTAGAAAAATTATCTGAATTCTCTTTACAAAAGATCTTAAAACCCTTAACACTTCTCTGGATGTGGGGTTCTATATAGGAATTTTGGGGCTGTATTTAAATTACTGGTGATGGGAACCTGCTGCTTGCTTTGGCTGCCTGAGGCACAGGGGTCTGACCCCAGCCAGTAGGGAAGCTGGCTTGCCCAGGGCAGGCACTTCAGACAAGCAGTCTGAGCAAGACCCTGAATGCTGGCATCACTTTTTAGTAGGAAGAGACAAAAATTCCCAATTGCCTCTGTGCCTGTCTGCAGGTAACAGTTTTGCAGTCTGTGGTGTTAGAGACAGGAACCCAGCAAACACTTTGCAGTACTGACAATGAAACAGTCAGAACTGTGTGAAAGTATTTAGAAGAATCGGGCTAGCCCCTGAAATTATGTCCAGGATGAGATGCCATGGCCAGTGTTCCCCAGAAACGTCAGAGATCAGGATTTGGCAATTGTCATCTTTCAAAATACATATACACTGTTTTATTTAGCCACCATTGCACTGTGCATGTTGGATCCAAATGAGCAGCTGAGAGCCAGAGCAGACATTGAGGTACCTGTGGGCTGGGGACTGATGAAACTCATGTACCTCCTTCCCTCAGAGCTGTCTGTAGGGCCAGCAGCAGTTTTGTGCTTCAGGCTCCCACTTCCACGCTGACCTCCCAGTGCTCAGCTACCCCTTTCCTTGCAGGAACCTGTTCACAATCGCTACAAGGAGCTTCTGGCCAAGCGGGCTGAGCTGCAGAAGAAAGTGGAGGAACTGCAGAGAGAAATCACCAACCGTTCCACCTCATCCTCGGAGCGAGCCGGCTCTCCCGCACAGTGCGTCGCTCCCGTACAGACAGTTGTATAATACAGACTTTTTTTTTTGCTGACTCCCTTCCCAGGACCATGGGGGGCAGCTTTTCGGAAACCTCCTGGATTTCCAGCATGGTGCCTGGGAGATGCCAACCTATTTATTTATTTCTCTCCAGGGTAATTTATTAGTACTGTAGCACTAGAGAAAGCTTAAAGCAAAAACCAACAGACAAGGCCCCCTATGCAATTACCCTTCTCAGTGGCTAGCTTACAGTACAAGCCAATTGCACTTGCCACCTGTAAGAAGCCTGGAGCTTGCTCTTTGTTCACTGATGTGCTGGAAATCACTTGGCTTGAAAGAGTCTGTGCATGAGCATGAAGCACCATGGAGGAAAAATGTCTGCTCAGAAGTTTGAAAGGCCAAACCTGACTTTATATTGGAGCCTCAGATGCAGCTGTGCCATCACACACCCTCCTGCTCAGCAGAGTGAATGACGGCGTTTGCCAGCACACCTGGAAATAAGCAGCAGCAGTGTCTGAAACAAGTCATTCCCTTCACCTCGACCTCGATCATAGGAAGCCATGTAAATGATGCCTTATTTAAAGAAAGGGCAGCTTCTCCCAATAAAATACTGCGGTAGAGGAGCAACACTACAGGACTTGATTTTGTAAGACAACATTTACTTCCATCTCTGCAACTTCAGAATCTCACTTGTGGCTTACAGTGGGTGTGCCAGAATGCAACCTAAGCACCTTTATTTCAGAGGGGGAGCAGAGTGTGGCTCCCCTGGGCTTTCCACAGCTCCTCTGGTCTCCAGTGCCTCATCGTCATCAGGGGAAAAGGTCGTGGAATACCAAGGGGCACATGTGAACTGCTGGGATCAGCCATTACGTTTTGCTTGGGTAAGCATAATTAGCAATTTTAATGCTTCTGTGCAGGGTTATAGTGGTGTACTTATGGTATTTCAGCTTTCTGCTAACTAATGGAAGCAACTGTGCATCAACCAAAGACACCTTTCTGCCTGCATTGCAACTGCTGCTTTTAGGTTTTTCTGGCAGACTGAACAGCTTAGCCATTTTCTAAACCCTACCTTCTTCCTCATAGTCTGCTTCAAGAACTGGTGTCACTCTACACTTAAGCTAAAATTCAATTTTAATACAAAAATTTACTGTAGGAGATACAACGCAGGCTTGGTGAAACCATGACTGCCCCCTTGCTCTTCCAACCAGGTAAGCAGGGTTGCAGAGGGGTCTAAGAGCAAAGGCAGTTAAGTATGTGCAAGGTCTTCTGGCTGTTTCTCCACCTCTCACTGAGGAGAAGGGGTCCTGCTTGGTGTGGGTTCCTGTGTTACTCTTTTAGGACCGGATCCCAGACCGTGGTCACCTGTTTAATATACCTGGCAGCTGCTTCACTCAGCTGCTATTCCACCAGAGAAGGATGTTTGGAGGGAATGTAAGAACAGACCCATTTCCACCTAAGAAACAGCCTTTCAAAAGCCACATTCCTTCCAAGGCAGTTAGCAGTCATTTCCTCCTGCAGTCTCCACTTTTGCCTGCTCTACTGCTGCCATCACCACACCGTGCTTACAGAGAAATCCACAGCCACCTTCCGACAGGATGAGTAACAGCCTGCACAGCATCACCACGTTTGTTATAGGGTGGCCTGACACATTATGGTTCAATAGTGCAAAGAATCCACACAAAATACTTTCTAAGGACTTGGATTTGCAGGTCTGCTCTTACATACAATCACTATATAAAATGGTTAAAAGCATTATTCTGTATTAGCAAATTGACTCTGTGTGTATATTTTGTTTCTGGATGAAGGCCTTTTGGTTTTCTTAACATTAATAAAAACGGATAAATGGATCAAGTTTCTGTGCTCTTATTTTCAACTGTGTGGTTTTTCAAAGGACTTGCAGGACATGCAGACATTAAATAAATAGCACTGCAAGTTCAGTGTGTTAAGTCCAAATCTCTCTTACTGTTCTGTAGAGGGTCTTTCAAGTTGTTACTGTTGAAAACTCTGACGTCTGGAATGACAGAAAACCAAGATTCATCTTTGGACAAGTTTCATTTATCCTGTACAGACCAGTATTAATGCAGATACAGTGCTTTGCTGCTCAGTATTATAAAAACAGAAGCACCGAAGGGACCTTTAAAGCTCATCCAGTTCCAACCCCCCTGACTGGCAGAGACACCTTCCACTAGACCACGTTGTTCAAAGCCCCATCCAACCTGGCCTTGAACACTGCTGTGCCAGTGTCTCACCACCCTCACAGTAAAGAATTTCTTCCTGATACCTAATCTAAACCTGCCCTCTTTTCGTTTAAAGCCATTCCCCCTTGTCCTATCACTACATACCCTCTCCAGCTCTCTTTATAACCCTTTCAGGTGCTAGAAAGTCTCCCCAGAACCTCCTCCTTTCCAGGCTAAACAACCCCAACTCTCACAGAAGCTACTGTCTAATGTGCAGAATTTTTTTTTATTGTGGAAGTATTTTGCTCAAAGTATTCTGAAATATGTTCACGACTAAAAAAAGCTTCCACAATTTCTGCACCTTACAGTGCATTGGCACAGTGACTTCCATGTAAAAGGAAGACTCACATTTTTGCATGTAACGTATGCCTAAATTCACTGGGATGATTTGTTACCAACTCTGTGGCTGGTCCCTGATGCTCTCAACCCACGGGTTTAGTTCTAACTTGGGCACCTCATTCATTCACTGTAGGCAGCATGGATGGAGCCTGAAATACACCTAAGCCCTCCACCAGTGAGGAGCTGCATGAGGAGAGCCTGAGGTCATGCTGAAGTTAACCCATCTTTGAGCAAGCTTATCTCCAGAGGTTCTTCCCAAGCAAAATGACCAAGTTTAAGTTTTGGCTACTGATTTTTCAGGACCCCGACCCGAACTGCTCTCTAAGTGGTTACTCCCTCTATACCTGGTTAGCAGCATCTAACAGCAGCTAACACATGTGCCTCCTGTGCGAGGAGACAAGCTGGGTGAATCACCTACAGGCAACAAACTCAACCTCCTTCTGGCTGTGTTGACCCTGCAGAGTTCCTGTTCAGCCACAGGCAAGGGTGGACTACTCTAACCGTACCTGCAGCTCTCATTCATCACCCTGACCAGGGAGAAATCACCTTGCCAGGAAAAGCCCACTGGCTGTGACACAGTGTTGCAGCAAACACAAGCTAATATAGAGGAAGTGCAGCTTTCCCACAATTCATTCAACAGGCAAGTTGGCTTTATTATTTTTCAACTGTATATACAGGTAATCTGGGCCTTCTATACATTCCATTAATAGGAAATTCTTTAAATTATTAACATAATAAATAACATTTAATCAGCTGTGCAAGTCAGAGCACAAACTTAATTGCACTACTAGCAAAGCTGATAGCTCATCAAAGCACATACTTCAAGTTAAAAGCAAGATGCCAGGACCAAATGGCACGATTGAGGCACTTGCAGTTTAAAACACTTGTAGTTTCTCTTACTCCTTTACCACCCAGGGCTGTCAGCTAGAGACAGGGTATTACCCCCTACCCTACAGCTTCTTCCTAAGGCAGGATTGCTGTATAAAAATTTCACTTGATCATTAAACAATGTAATTCATAAGTTACTTTGCCCCTTTTCTGAGCACTCAAACATCCACTGCCACTGATGCTGACAAATGCAGCATAGCAGAACAAGAACCAGGGATGCCTTTTGAAGAGAGCCTCACAGAACAGAAGGGGTTTACCTGTTCTCCCTCAGACACTCCCAGAGATGGAGTCATTGCAGCTGTAGACAGAACAGAACTGACAAATGCCCTCAACAGCCAGGGCTGCAGCACTGTTTTCACACAAGCTGCAAGAGACCTCCCAGATCAAGAGCATGAAATGGCACTGGCACATCACACACACACCAACCCACGTAAATGTGCAGTGCTTGGTGTGCCTGGAACAATGCAGAGGGACTGCTGGAACCATAACATAGGGAACTGGGGGAGCCCTATTGTTAAGATTCACTGGCAATGTACCTTGAAAATGGAACGTGATTTGAGCTAGACCATAATATGTACAATCAAATGCAAGGATGGAAAAACAAGAGCCGGTAAGCCTGTATTTCAAAAGTGTGCTTAGTCTACAGTAGTCTCTCCCACACATCAAGAAAGGCAGCTGCTTTAGATCCAGAATGTAATATGGCCAGGATGGTTCAAGAACATCTGCAGAAAGAAGATTCAGTAGTCCCAGCTGATATCATCTTTCTGTAGTGAAGTCTGTATGGTCTGCATGTCCCTCAGCAACTGAAGATTTTTCCGACTCTTCTCTCCAGGCTTCACTTTGATGGGACCAGCATTCTTTCCTTTTGTGGTTATTGTAGTGGTTACTTTAACCTCACTGACAGGGAACCTGCTGTCCTTTATTTGTTTAGCAGAAGTCTTTCTGGACTTGCATTCTCTCTTAAGTCTCTCTAGCTGAAAGAGAAGCCCAAAGAAAAACATTAAGAAGTGATCTTGTTTCAGTTTTATGTTCAGTAATTCTTCCAATCAGCTGAAATATCCCAACACTTATCTCACCCAGGTAAGCAAATGGTTGTTTCCACGGCACACTGAACAAGAAATAATTTATTTTCCTTACAAAGCATTGTTGTATTTACATCTTTAGAGCTGTGTTTACCTTACAGTGATCTACCACCTCTCTAAAAACTGAAAAGTTCATTATGGGGGAACATTGCCATCAGGAATGTAATATAAATGCAGATGAAAAAAGTTGATTTATCACTGTTACCATCCAGTGATTAAAAAAGAACACAAAAACAAAGGTTTTTACATACACACTACTAATTTTAATAGCTAGTCACTGTCAGATGTAGCTTTGAAAGAATACCAGAGCTCTGCTGTGGTGAAAAGGTGTATCCACAACAGCTCTGTAAAATCACAGCACATGAGTCTCAGTACACCCCAGCAAAGACTGAATGGGGAACTGGACAGTCTGAGGTTCAGACACATTCATACACCCAAACCACAACATGGGTGGCTTCTACAGCTCCCCTCTCTGCAGGTGGTGGTGCTCCTTCCTCCTAGCTGACAGCATGCAACATTTTTCCTAAGCCCCAGCTCCTAAAACTTTTGCCAACAGCAAATACAGCATCATTACTGCTGGGAACTATAGCACATCTGCTTCTCTGCAGCAGTTCCTCTGAAGACCATATCAAAAGTGAGAGATGTTTCTAACAGCAAGCATTTCACAGGTTCATTCTGGATGTCAGGTCTCAGCATGTGTTTTGTGCATAAGTTACATCAGGTGAGGGTGAATTGTGGTTTGTATGAACTGAACCAGATTAAACACATGGGGTTAAGCTCTTTGAAAGAAATTCACTAAAATTAATGAAGACAAAAGAAAACAGGGAATCAATATGTTTTATAGCTTTGAATGAAAAGGCTACACTATCCAAAACATTCTGAAAGTTATAAGCAAAACAGGTATTTTGAGTCTTAAAAAATGCAAATCAAAACATAAATAGGTCCTTTACTCCAAGTAAAGTTCAACAATGCTCAAGGGACAAGAAGTGTGTAAAATGCAATGTCAGAACAGATGTGAAAGCTCTGTCCAGGACAGGGTGAAGAGTGGGAACAAGATTGACAGAAAGTTTGTTTCTGCAAAAATACTGGGATAGATGGAGGTATGCAGACTAACTTTGGGACATCAAAGGTAATATAAGATTAGTTATTTCTGTTTTATGCAATTGCTGCTAGATTAGGATATAACATCAAAAAGCCCTGCTTAAGTCAGCAACTCTACATGAGCATGAACACAGGCAAAAGAAACTCACCTTCAAACGATGCCTCTGAACTTTGCCGATTTGGTCTGCCTTTGCTTCCATCTTGCCCACCAGTGCCTCAAGTTCCCTCTCCAGATCTTCCCTCACTGCAACAGTTGGGGCTTCCTGGATGAGCTTTGACAGCTGCTGGTGATCACTAGCACACAATTCAGACAGAACAAGGCTTGCATCAGGCTCCATTGGCTTCTACATCTTGTACCCAGTTCAGAAATAACACTTCTAGGAAATCGTAGCATCAGCAGCCAGACATGTTCAATACACATAACAAACCGTAAGAACAGTTATGCTGGTTTGCAGCATTATTACAGTAGCACATCATGGTGGCAGGCTGCTGCAACACTGAGTCTCAATAATCTAAGTAGCTTCCAACTTCAAAATGTATATTCAAAATGACCAAACAACCCCCTGAGAGCTTGATCTCAGCACTCATCCAGTTAATATTTTGTGTATCTGTACCTACTGCAGCTGTGCAGTACAGTAACAATTCGTGTTCTGTTAACCAGGACAAGCAAAACACACAGCAAAGCTGTCCTTTAATGGACTATTTGTCCAGATCCTGCTTTTGGCTAGGATAGAGTTTTCATTTTTAGTAGCTGCTACATTGCTGCGTTTTGGATTCAGTACAAAAATAATGTTGGTAACACTGATGTTTTCATTGTTGCTCAGCAGTACTTACCCTAAGCCAAGGGCTTTTCAGTGTCTCCTGCTATGCCAGTGAGCAGGGGCACAAGAAGGAGGGACAGGGAGATATCTGGGATAGCCAAAGGGATATTCCATACCATAGAACATCATGCCCAGTATATGAACTAGGGGGAGTTAGCCATGAGGGGGCAATTGCTGCTGGGAACAGGCATCAGTCAGCATGTGGTGAACAACTGTACTGTGCACCACATGCCTTTTTACCTTGGATTTTATCTCTCTCCCTTTTTCATTGCTATTATCATTACATTGTACCTTATTTCAGTTACTAGCCTGTCCTTTGGGTTTTTCCTTTTCCCGATTTCCCTCCCCATCCCACCAGAGCAGAGGGGTGGGAAAGCAG